TCAAACTATTAGTTCACTCTCTTCTCTCTCTCTCTCTTTCTGTGTGTGTGTTTTTTTTTTTTTTTTAGATGGGGTCTTGATATGTTGCCCAGACTATCCCAAAGTCCTGGGCTCAAGCAATTAAGTAGCTGAGATTATAGGTGCATTCCACTATGTCTGGCTCTAGAAACTAATTATTTGAGGACAAACCCCACACTGGATTTGCACCTACATCTACCTACCACTCCAGCAGCACAGGGTGTTGCACTCACAGAATGTGAGTTAATCAAGTGAATGGACAAGTTGCTGATTGTAAAGTGATGTGGAGGGTGCAAGGAAGCATTGAACTCGCATCAGAGGGACTGGGCTTTAAGTCTCTCTCTCTGCCACTCACTGGTGCATCACTATTGATAAAGTCCCTTTCCTGGGCAATTTGGATTTAAACCTGTTACATGAGATTAACAAAATCCCACTCAAGGTGCAAAAATGAGGAGCCCATGAAATGACTGACATGGAAACACCCTGTAGTCCATAAAGGTGCCAATAAAGGATCACATAGTTATTGTGGTCCATCGTTGCAATGTGACAAGGTCTCCACACATGCTAGTCCTCATTGCACCATGATCAGGAAGAGCACAGAGTCCTGAGAGGCAGTTTCCCAGTTCTTATTTTCTGGGCTGCTCTGGATTCATTTCCCTGCCTTTCCCCTTACCAGTGAGTTTTGGGGCCACAACTGGACTTTTCCGTAATCATTTGAGCACCCCAGGTGGGAAATAATAAGGTCATTGCCAAGAAGCTTGTCAGCTCATCGGTCACTAGTGACTACAGAAAGACTCTGAGCCCCTCCAAAGTCCCAGAGAAGAAAGGAGTCAGGGATGATTAGGACCAGAAGGCAACAGTCAGGACCACGTTGTCTGAGCCCAGCTTCTTGGCACCCCTCTCCTGAGGGATTCCTTTGCTGGGCACTGCCTTGAGAGCCTCTGTGGACCATGGTGGTCAAGTGTATGCTGTGACTCCAGGGAAGGACTGGAGGATAAGGCATATCCATCTTCAGAACTGACAAGCTAAACCGGGCACAGTGGTACATGCCTGTAATCCCAGCGGCTCTGGAGGCTGAGACAGGAGGATCACAAGTTCAAAGCCAACCTCAGTAACAGCGGCAAGGCTCTAAGCAACTCAGTGAGACCCTGTCTCTAAATAAAATACAAAATAGGGCTGGGCATGTGGCTCAGTGATTGAGTGCCCCTGAGTTCAATCCCTGATACAAAAACAAAACAAAACAAGCAAACAAAAAAGCCCTACAAAAATAACTGACAAGATAAGCCAGGTGTAGTGGCACAAGCCTTTAATCCCAGCAGTTTGGGAGGCTGAGACAGGAGAACTGCAAATTCAAAGCCAGCTTCAGCAATTTAATGAGGCCCTAAGCAAATTAGCTAGAACCTGTCTCAAAATAAAAAGGACTGGGGATGTGGCTCAGTGGATAAGTGCCCTTGGGTTCAATCCCTGGTTAAAAAAAAAAAAAGAATCCTGACCAGCTAAAGCTAAGCTAAACTGAGCTGCTGATTCCTCTAAAGAGCTCAAAGGAGGATAAAGGTAATGTGTGGTAGAGAAATGGAGAGAGAATTTTTGCAGTGGAAAGGGGGAGAGTCCTGCAGGCACTTTCTGTCCTTGTACCTATTCCTAGTGACGCCAAATGAAACTGAAATAGGTGTAAGCATGCTTATCCCTAGACCACAAAAGATTAAAGCACAAAATCTCTGCCCAGACTGGGTACTATGGTGCAAGTTTGTGATTCCAGCAACTCTAGGAGGCTGATAGAACATTTTTTTTCCCCTCTGAATTACATCCCCAGTTCTTTTTATTTTGAGACAGGGTCTCACTAAGTTGCTGAGGCTGGCCTTAAACTTGTGATCCTCCTGCCTCAGCCTACCAAGTAGCTGGTATCACAGACATGCACCATTACATCCAGCTACCCAAGACTCTTAAATGCTTTTTAAAGTTACACAGGCCCGGGCATGTCCTCTGAAAGGGCAGACCAGATACTGAAATTTTCAGTCCTAAAGAGTTTTCTGGGGCTTACCACTTGTAACCTAGTGACTGTGACTGGCCAGTTCCAGGAACAGAGGGGTAGTAGAGTACAAAGTGTATCAATCAAGGATCAGAAAATGTATGTGAACAGGGCATGGTGGTGCATACTGTAATCCCAGCAATTTGAGAGTATGAGGCAAAAGGATCACAAATTCAAGTTGTGAGACCTCACAGCAACTTAGCAAGACCCCGTCTCAAAATAAAAAATAAAAAGAGCCAGGTGCAGTGGCGCACACCTGTAATCCCAGCAGTTCTGGAGACTGAGACGGAAGAATCGTGAGTTCAAAGCCAGCCTCAGCAACAGAGCCAAGCGCTAAGCAGATCAGTGAGACTCTGTCTCTAAATAAAACACAAAATAGGGCTGAAATGTGGCTCAGTGGTAGAGCACCCCTGAGTTTAATCCCTGGTGGTGGTAGTAGTAGTAGTAGTAGTAGTAATAATAATAATAATAATAATAATAATAAATGAGTAAATAAATAAAAAGAGCTGGAGCTATAGCTCAGTGGCAAAGCACCCCTGGGTTCAATCTCCAATACCAAAAAAAAAAAAAAAAAAGTAGGTGAGTTGAAGCAAGTTGGAATTTTGTCACTAAGTTTCTGTGACTCATCTCACCTGGGACCCTCCCCTGCCTGAAAGGATTCTAGGATTGCACCGATGTGAAATGATTTACAGATCAACATGCCTGAGGTCATTATTACTAGCAGTGAGAATAACTATCATGAGATTGGGAAGGAGCCCCAGGGTTCCTCAGATCCACCAAAACTTGCAAAGTAGGACTGGGGAGGGAGAAAGCAGGGGAGCTAAATCAACCAAATGAGGAAAACTCCAAAATTGGCTGATTTCCTGTGTGATTTTGCAGAAGTCACTTCACCTCTCTGAGCCTCAAGTTCCTAATTGATTGAAAACTAAAATTACCCTGCTCATAGTATTCTAGCTGCTCATAGTATTCTAGGTACTTTTAAGCTTATCTCCAGGTCCAGGACTACTTCAAAGTCCTTTTAAGTGTGCCTAGAGGCTGATGATCTAAGTCTTAAAGATCTAACAAACTGAGGGAGGAAATGGTCATTGTTTGCTCTGTCAGTCTCAACTGGACATGAAGCTGCTAAAGACCTAGAGACTGACTTTTCTAGCTTGCTGAGAGTTGAGTAATTTTCCAGAAACAGAACTTGGCTAGTTTCCCTGTGTAAGGTACCAGCCCATCCCACTTACATAAGAAAGTATTGTTTGTTCTCCCAGAGGATTCAGGAGGCCAGCTCCTCCACGGGGCGGGGCTCAGGAGTCTCAGCTCAGTGGCAGCCACAGGGATCAAGGGGCTTTGACCCAATGTGCATGAGAATTAAGGCACATTCAGTGGAGGCATAGCCCCAGCCAGGCATGAGGCGGGGTTGCAGGGTAAGGACTGTGCATCTGTGGGGTTCTAGGAATGCCACTGTACTGTGGGTCCTATCAGAGTAAGTATTCTCTCTCTCTCTCTCTCTCTCTCTCTATCTATCTATCTATCTATCTCTCTCTCATTTTGTGGTCCTGGGACACTTTACATTGTATTACACCCCCAGCCTTTTTTTGAGACAGAGTCTTGCTAAATTGTCCAGGCTGGCCTCAAATTTGTAATCCTCCTGCCTCAGTCTCACGAATAGTTCAGTCTAAATTCTCCTAAACCGATTTGTGGGTATGTGAGGGGAGGGATTTAGGAGGATGCAGGGAGAAGCAATCTCATTTTGTTGTTTGTTTTGCAAGGTTGGGGATGGAACCTAGGACCTCACACATGCTAGGCAAATGTTTTACCATTGAGCTACATTCCCAGTCCCTAAAAATCTCTTTACAGATTTCCCCTCCCTTTTTGTGGTATAGGATCACTGGAAAAAAAAAAAAAAATTGCTTGGGGGGAGGGGATACTGGGGACTGAATTCAAGGGCACTTGACCACTGCCACATCCCCAGCCCTATTTTGTATTTTATTTAGAGACAGGGTCTCACTGAGTTGCTTAGCACCTTGTTGCTGTTGCTGAGGCTGGCTTTGAACTTGTGATCCTCCTATCTCTGCCTCCAGAGCTGCTGGGATTATAGGCGGCAAGGCGCCCAGCAAAAGATTTTTTGTTTTTTAAATACAGTGAAAATGAGTGCCCTTTTCTTACTCCCTTGGGTCCCAGGCCCCTTACCCGAACGCCCAATCCTATTCTCAGGGCCAACCATTGTTAATAATTGGTACACATCCTTTCGGATATTTGGCTTGAACATTTTAAAATAAAAAACAGGACTATACTGTGCATAATATTCTACAAGCTACTTTTTTTCAGTTATATATCAAGGGTATCTTTGTATGTCCACAATATGAGAAATTCTGATTGCCCTTTGTAACAATGGTTGGCCTTTCAATCTCTCTATCTAAGCCCCTGATGATGCGCACTGAGGTTGTTTCCAGTTTGTCTGCCATTATAAAATAATCCTGCAAAGATTTGGAATGTAGAAACAACAAATAAACAAAACACAAGAATCTGGGTGTCTTTCTCCAATTATTTGCTTAGGAAAGATTCCAAGAAGTGGAATCTCTGGTTCAAAGGATCTGCCTAGTTAAAGTGCTTACATGTGTGGGTGATGGCCACTCAGTTCTGCCTCCCCCCAGTGGAATGTACTGAGGCAGGGTCCTGTACTCCCTTCATTACATGCAACTGTGGGCCACTTTTTCTCTCCCTCCTGAAGCTGAATATCATCATGGTCAACCCAAGGCTAATCCTCATCAATCACTGTCTCTACAGGTCCTTATTCTTTACCCCCTCTCACTTCATAACAAGAAAACATTTCAAAACCTTTCTCTACATTCCCAATACAATGAATCAGACATAATGAACAGAACAAGGAGCCTACCAATGATGGTGTCATGAGTCACTGGGCCCTGGGCTATCAGTCCCCACTGCAAGACAGAATCTTGCTTACCTGAAACACGTCTCCATTAACAGTAGTCCCCATGTCTTCAGAACCAGCTAGAAAGAGAACAAGCAGACAGTATCACTCATTGTTCAGCTTAGAGCAAGCATACAATGGCTCCACCTTAGCACTGGGAGCCAATCTCTCTATATGTTGACCCCACACAGGTAAACATAATAGATACCCAAATAACTATGACTCAATCCCTCACCTCACCCTATAATGAAGTGGTTAACCATCCATTTTACAGATTCTCAAGCACAGGCTCAGAGAAGCTACATGATTAGCCAATATCACCCAGACAATAATGCCTCCTCACCCACCTGGAGTTACTTGACCAACAGTCGTGTGGCAATGGTCTGATTGGGTGTGGAGCCCATGCCTGCTTTTGGGCGCTGAGAGGAGCACCTTAGGGTGGGAGCTACCAGGGGCAAGGAAGAGAGGAAGCTACTCCTCCGCCTGTCCTGGGGAACCTTGAGGAACTGCTCTACCTGGAAGAGCAGGAATCACAGTCCCTACTGCGCAGCACCTGGCCTGTTTTTTCTCTCTACGCCTCTTCCAGAAGAATTTTATTTTGCCTTCTGCAGTGATCCCTCCCAGTCCTTTTGTGACATCCAATTAGTCACAAATTCCTGCAGCTTTTGCTGGAACAGTGACCCTCAAATTTGTGTTCCCACTGATTCCCTGATGCCCAGCCTCAGCCAGGGACTTCACCATCTCCCTCCTGCCCATCTGGTTTGGTCTGTCTGCCCTGCTAGTGGCAAACACCTGGTAAAGTATAACTGTCTCTTTCTCTCCTTACCATCGTCTTCCCCAGAGCCACACATGGGATTTGCACCTTTGAAAGAGTCAATAATTGGTTGTTGAATAAATAAATGAATTACTTTTTTTGTTTGTTTTCAGTGCTGGGTATTGAACTTAGGAACTTGAGCATGCTAGGCAAGTGCTTTACAGCTGAGTTACATCTGAGTTACATCTCCTCTCTCTCTCTCTTTTTTTTTTTTTTTTCCTTTTCCCCCTTCTTTTTAAAAGACAGAAAGAATGTGTGGCTTTTGCTCATTCACTGGCTTCCCTAACTCCAGCTTTACCCTCTCCCATCCCTCTTTCAAACTCATTGCCAGGTGGATATTTTGAAAAACATAGACTTGTTTATGTCCCTCCTCTGATTAAAAGATAATGGGAGTAAACCAAAAAGAAATCCACTTCCCCTGGACCACAGGGGCCTAAAGAATCTGCTCCTGCTTTGGGGACTTTGCAGGTGCTGTTCCTTTTGCCTAGAAGCCTTTCCTACATATTCCACATGGGCTCCTCCCTCACTCCCCTGTCTCTGCTCAAAAGTGGCCTTAACACATGGCTTCCCTGATCACATCTCATTCTGCCCTCAGGCACCAACTTCTCCAGTGGTATTTGCTTTAGAGCTAATATAGCCTGATAAGTTCACTCGTATATGTGTTTATTTTCTGTCTCTGCCACTTGAAAGGACCCTTCATGAGGACAGGGACTTTGTTTTATCCTCAATGGGGCCAAATACCTGGAACAGTGCACAACAGGGATTCAATAAATAATTGGTAAATAAATACATTTAACCCTGGAATACAGTTCATGAGGAGCTTTATAATCTGGCTCTGTCCTTTTATCCTGACTCACTTCCTAAAGAACCCTTTGTTTAGATCCATTCCTTCTCCAAAGTCCAGTTTACAAGTCACCTCTTCCAGGAAGCCCTTGCCTGCTACCTTGCTTCCCTCGGCACTGAGAGAAAGATCTTACCTCTAGGGTATGCCAGAATATTGCATAGCATCCCCCACTCTGTTGTGCAATTACTTGTTACCCCCTGAATCTGGGTACTCCCTTTCCAGATTGTAGCCTATCAGCTCCTAAGGACTCCTGATTAAAATAGGCAAGCAACAACTACTGGCTAAATGAAAATTGAATTGCTCTTTGGCGATCTACTATAATGTGCAAGGCCTCTCAGAAACTGCAATACTTCCTAGCAAAGTGCCATACGAGGGTACAGGAGGTTACTACAGATGGACAAATAACCCTGTATACCAGATAGGACTGTGAGCAGAAGCAATCGTGCTTTCAGCCTAAGGACTGAGATACTTAAGCCCATGGCCATAATCCTGGGTTGATATGAATTATAATTGACTTTACTGAATCAAGCAGTGATTGATTTTGACCTGACCTATGAGTCAGCTGTCACTGCCACATATTCAGATAGGATTTCTCCTGCAAATCAGCATGAGACCAATGAAGTTTCAGAGGCAGCATCTTCTGCAAAGATGCTTCTCCCGGGGCGCCTCCTCTACCAGGGCCCGACATTGCCAGGGTCCATTCACAATGATGCAGGTCTGTACTTAACAGCTTTTTGGAAAAGTTGCACCACCATCCTCCACCCTGACCAGCTCATTTAGACCTTTCATCTGCAGGTAGCTGCCTGGTACCCACCTTGGCCTCTGGAAATTGTCTCTGCCCCAGGCTCTCAGTCTTGTGAGTGTCCCTCTGGAGATGTGGTTTCAGCCTCTTTGAGAATCCACACCCACCCACACAGAGCATTGCCAGTATCTATTCCCATAATGCTCTCTGATTATTGCACATTTATTATCATGGGTCTGCAATCAGAGCCCAGCATAACAGGAGTAAGGCATATCCAAGTCCCAAGGATAAACTCCTGGGTGTGTGACTTCCCTCAGATGCCTGGCCCATTTTGGAACAAGTTTAGAGAGGGTCCAGAACATTCCTGTGAGCTTACTGAGGCCCAGAAGGGGAAATGGGCTTGCCCAGAACTGATGGGCAAGTCACAGCCAGGCCTGCCGCCCAGAAAACTGGGTGTGAAAATGTAAACCTCTGGGCCCTGCCCAAGGCTGAGGAATGGAAACAAAGTGTCTATCACTCAGGCTGGTCACAGATCCAGCCCGGGAAGAAGATCCTGTGGCTCAGGCTCAGCCCTACACCAGACACCTCTTTCCCCTTGTTCCCCAGGGGCCTCTGGGAGCACAACATCAGGACACTCAGCATAGGGACTGCTAATCAGAGGATCCGTCATTTAAGAGAGGGTGACTACTGGTTGGTGGCTGGAGCCAGCTTCTGCCCAATTCTCAACAGGACAAGGCCCATTTTCTCAACCCCCTCCATCGCTAATCAGGGGAAGATGGCCTGTTCACTGCTGCCTTGTCTTAGAAGGGTCAGATCAGTTCTATTTATGTCTGGCCACCCACTGAGCCACCATCAGGCAACACCTCCTTGCTCCCCAGATCACCACTCAAGTGGGCAGCTGAGCATTTGTAGCCTCAGCAGGTTTGAGTTTGGGAGATGCTCAGAGGGCTGTGTCCTTGGCAGCGTCCAGTGCTCTCCTGGAAGAGGAGAGCACGTTGCTGTTTCTCTCCCTGTCATCTCTGGTCTGAGGCCAATCTGTGGCCCCACCATGTCAGAGAGGGAACCCTCCATCCAGGCTAAAAACCCAGGAGTCCCATCTGGGACAAGCCACAACTTCTAGTCCCTTCTGATGACCCTCAGCTGAAATTCTACCTGCCCTTTTCTCTCATGGGGTTCTGATAACATGAGGCCTCTTGGAACCAATCAGGCTACATTAGGGAATGGGCTGGTCTCAAGGAGGAAGTATGAACAAATGAATACCATTGCATGAACTTGGGCAGACATTTCTGAGGAATTCCCTGGGACAGGGTAGGGTCCATGCTGAGGGGCTAGGAGCCACTGCTTCAGAAGACCTCTACTGCTGGCTGTGCTTGGGTAGCAAAAGACACCTGCCTCCTCCCCCACATCCAAAGGCTTCCCACAGCATTTGAAAGAACATGAAACAGAAAAGAACAGAAACTCAGAGCTGGGAGGCCTGGAATCAAATCCCAGATCTATCACTCATGCTGTGTGACTGGGCAAGATTCTCAGACTCTCTGAGCCTCCAGTTTCTCTTTCATCTTTACCCTCTACCCATGTTGGGGATTGAACCGAGGGCCTCATATATGTTGGGTAAGCACTCTGCCACTGAGTTATATACCTAACCCTGTTTATTTTTTATTTTGAGACAGAGTCTCGTTAAGTTGCCGAGGCTGGCCTCAAATTGTGATCCTCCTGCCTCAGCCTCCCTAGTAGCTAGGATTACAGTCTGGTAAGACCCTGTCTGGCTGCTTCCAGTTTCTTGTATGTTACAAAAAGCTTGTTATATTTCTCATATCAAGCGGATACAGAGTTGCTTCAACTACTCAGCCACAGGAACTGTCTTACTCATTTCTGTATCCCCAGTGGGGCTTGGCATATTAAGTAGGTACTCAACCCATGTTGAATGAAAACAAACATGACTGTTCAAGAGCTTTGTAAATAAATAAATATCTCCAAAATGACAATAATAGGAAGCAAAATCTGTATGGGATGTACTCGTGTAGGTGATATCTACTTTTTTACTAAATATTTTAAGAAATTGGTTTTTTGGGGGGTCCAGAATTAGAGTAGGAACATTGTTGATAAATATGATATCGCAGGGACCAGGCTATGAATCCTGAGTTCTGAAGCCAAGTACAATAGCCCTGGACCACCTTTGGAAAATCATTAGGTGGACAGAAACCCCTGAGGGGCAGGAACCCTTCTGACTGATGCTCCTTTGTGCCCCTGGCCCAACCTCAGAGTTTTTTGCAGAGCCAGGCACATGGAAGACAGTGTGGTCAGAATGAGGGGTTTAGCGTCTGACAGAAATGGGTTTAGTCCTTGATTCACCCTTACTAGTTGTTTCAATAGCTTTGTTTCTCTTTTTTTTTTTTTTTTTTTTTTTGTTGTTGTTGTTGTTACTGGGGAATGAACCACTGAGGTATATATCCCTAGGCTTTTTATTTTTTATTTTGAGGCAGGGTCTTGCTAAATTGCCTAGGCTTGCCTTGAACTTAATGATTCTCCTGTCTCAGCAACTGGGATGACAGGTGTATGTGACTGTACTCAGCTAATAGTGTACCTTTAGAGCCTTAGTTTTGCTGGCTTTGAAATGGGTTCAATAATATGTATGGAATTCTTAAATGTAAACATGCCTAGCTAAGTGGCCAAGGGAAGATGTGTGGTCCCCAGGGAAGATTTGTGATTTCTTGGAGCCCCCATTATTCCCTGTTTTGCCAGCTGTGTGAAAGCTAAGGCTAGGGAACAGCAGGTCTGCATTCTGCCCACACCTGCACCACTTAACTGGGAGCCTAGATCACTCAGGCTATTAGAGGACTCAAGAGGGACTCTTAGAACTGGGCAGGCAATGAATTTCAGAGCCAGGCAGTGGTGAAATTGGCCTTGGAATAAAATGTCATGACCGAATTCCTGTCCCCAGAGTCAGCAGATCACAGTCCCAGGAGAGGCCTCCTCTCATCCCCCAGCTCAGAGATCCTAGAGGTGAATCTCCAAGATTGCTCCCTAGTTCCCCCAGGCCCTCTGCTCGCAAACGCACAGCCCCCGGCCTGCTCCTGGCTGGCCTATCCAGATCCTCGCCACTCTCCCCAAGACTCCTTGGCCGGGTTTGTGAAGGGCCTGGACCACCGTCCCCGGGTGACAGGTTCAAGGCCCCCAGCTCCCAGGCCACTGCGCTGACTCACCCCCACTCGCGGGTCTCGGCTGCGCGGAGGCCACCTGACTGCCGGCAGGTGCCCCGAAGCCCTCGTCATTCTCTATGCCTGCGATCTCGCTCTCCTGCTGGGCCAGGAAGGCAGCCGCTGGGTCCTCCTCAGTCGCCTCAGGGACCCCGCTCTCTGACGACGAGAAGAAGCCAAAGTCATCAGCCATTTTCCCCGCGTCTCTGCTGAAGCCTCCGCCTGGCTCTCGGCTGCCTGGCGCTTGCCCCGCGCTGTGCCCGGCGGCCGCAACACTGTCACCCAGCCGCCCGGGGGAGCCGGCCTGCGCTGAGACGGGCTCGGCGCGGCGGCCCCGCACTTCCTCTCCGCCACCGGGCGGGGCTCGCCTGTCACTGCCGCTGCAGGCGCCGCGGCGGGAGGAGCTGGGAACGGGAATGCGGTGATGTCACCGGCCGAGGGAGGGTGCCCGCAGGACGACGGGGAGACCGCCTTGCAGCTGCCACAGGAGGGCGGCAGCAGCACAGCGCGCGGCCTGAGGGGCGCGACTGCCGGGACCGACAGCGCAGTCTGGCTGCCTCCGCTCATTTCCAGGACACCAGGATCAAAACAGATCCTGCCGGTCTCCGGGCCAAGTCGAGTGGACAAAGCCGCCAAACAGCGCACACTGCCGAGACAGGAGGAGAGTCCGGGCCTCCAAGAGGGTGGAATCGGAGCTGACGTTACTAATAATTAATTCTGCAAAAGTTTGTGTGTTTGTTTTTGCAGCGCCGGGGATTGAACGCAGGGTCTGGTGCAGGCTAGGCAAGCACTGAGCTACATCCCCAGCCTTATTTATTTTATTTTGCTAGTTTGCGTAGAGAGGGTCTCGCTAAATTACTGAAATCTCGAATTTGCGATCCTCAAGTTTGCTGCAAGCGGGGTGGGGGGGGGGGGGGGGGGGGTGGGGTGGGGGGGGTGGAATTCCAGGCGTGCAACACCGCACCTGCCGGACCTCCACGGCCCTCGCAAGTGACTTCAACCAAAACGGCGCCAATGTTATGAACTCTATTAAATGGCCCTTCTCTGTAGAGGAGGGAAATAAGCCTGGGAAAGGCTTCCATGCATCTTTTCATGCAACTCCAACTTGGCCACATTGCTTTAGTGCATTGCTTGGGCATTTCTCATTTGAGGGGTCTTCAGCTCCTACTATCAGTTTGTGTGACCTACCTGGGCGCCTTCATTGCATTTAGATATGAACCGGCTGAGAAAGGCCTGCATTTTATCTAGGCGACCTGACACCTTCCTCCAGCCACCCTCAGTTAACACCCAGTCTCCTCCCTGCCAGAGATGACCAAGCACCAGGACAATATTAGTAACTCAGCTTTGGCCATGTGGAGATTACAATCTAATGAGACCAACAAATGGCAAATAGCTAAACACAAGGTACTGGGCAACCCAGAGAACCACTGAGGGATTTGGACTGTTTTCTTCTGATTTGAGACTCGAAGGTCAACTATGAATTACGAACTGAAAAAAATGGAAATATATGCCCCAAGTTGTGGGTAGTGGTTCCCTTAGGTGGTGAGGAGTGAAAGTAAAGCTCAGTCAGGGCAAAGCTCTTGCTTACTATTACTGGGCTATAGATTTCAATCTCATACAGATGCTCCTTGATGCATGATGAGGTTGCATCCCAATAAACCCATCATAAGTTGAAAATATCATAACTGAAATGCAGTTAATTCCCCTCACCCATCAAACATCATACCTTGGCCCAACCTACAATAAATGTCTTCAAAACACATTAGCCTGCAGTTGGGTAAAATCATCTAACACAGACAATTTTGTAATAAAGTGTTGGATATCTCATGTGATTTATTAAATACTGTACTGAAACTGAAAAACATAGTTGTAGGAGTGCCTGAAGTAAGGTTTCTAATGAGTACAAATGGCTTCTGCACCATGATAAGTTTGAAAAATCTTAAATTGAAACATTGCAGGTTAGAGATAACCTATAATGAGAATGCAGTCGTATTTAAAAAGAGAGAAACTTAAGGCCCTGCACAACTTGATCCAAACTCACTCCAGCATCATCTTCCCTCTCTTCCTCATTCCTACAACTATAGACTTGTGTAACAAAAAGACTTAAAATGTTAACTAGAGCTGGGTGTGGTAGTGCATGTACATGTAATCCCAGCAGTTTGGGAGGCTGAGGCAGGAGGATTGAGAGTTCAAAGCCAGCCTCAGTAATTTAGCAAGACCCTAAGCAATTTAGCAAGACCCTGTCTATAAATAAAATACAAAAAAAAAAAAAAAAAAAGGCTGGGGAATTGGCTCAATGGTTAAGTACTCCTGGAGCCAATTCCTGGTACAAAAAAAAAGGTTAAAAGGTTAACAAGTTTAAGCAGCTAGGCATGGTTGAGACAGAAGGACTAATGGACTATGTTACTGCCTACTGTGACCTCCATGGGATATCCTTGCTTGATTCTCCCAGGCTTCAGTCAGTAAGGTAGGTAACACTTAATGCAAATCCAGTATAGACATTTTTTCTAACTACTTCTTCCTTTTCTCCTCTTCCTTCATAATATATCCATCAGCAAAATTTCTGTCCTTAATTATACAAGTTACTTGTTCAAATTATTCTGTAACCATTCTTGCTCCTATATATTACTCTTACATGTTAATATTGAAAATTATTATTAAAGTTATATTTGAACAATGTAGCACTTATATCCAATAGAAATTTCCAGTTCATTGACACTTCTCTGAATGTCTTTGTGTCTAAACATTATTCAAGATTTTTTTTTTTTTTTTTGAACTGGAGATTGAATCCAGGAGCACTTTACCACTGAGATATATCTCCAACCCCCCTTTTTTTTTTTTTCATGGTACTGGGGATTGAACCCAGGGCCTTGTGCATGCAAGGCAAGCATTCCACCAACTGAGATATATCCTCAGCCCCAACCCTTGTTTAAAAGCTATTTTTAGACAAAATTTTGCTAAATTTCCCAGACTAGCCTCAAACTTGTGATCCTCCTGCCCTGGCCTCCTGAGTTGCCTGGATTATAAGCATGTGCCACTAGGTTGGGTCCTGCAAATATCTTTCTATTGTGGGTTTGTTCAGTTTAGTTGGATGACACATTGAATTTGGTTGAATTCTTAAGTTCTTTATGATTTTTTAAATTATGTACTATTTCCAACATTTACAAAAGCAGACATAATTATAAAATAATTGTAACAATAAATCATTATTATAATAATAAAGTTATAATAACAATACAGTATAATAAACCCCAATATAACTATAACCCAACTTCAATAATTATCCATATTTGGCCAAATTTGTTTCGTCTAAACCTCCACCACTGCCCCATACTTTAAATTCTTAGAAAATAAATCCCATGTTATGTCACTTCATCCACAAATATTTCTCCAAAAGAGAAAGACCTCTTTCCCTGTTAATTTAATCACAAAATAATGATCAGAGATTTTAAAAAATCAGCAAATACCCAATCAGTATTCAAATTTTTATGATATCCGTATATACATCCATACATAGCTCTAAACAATGTCTCCACATTGTATTTGTTCATGTATCCCAAATAATTTGGGACAAATAACCTTATGGATGCAAAATCTATAATCAATAGAGTGCACCATTTTAAGTGTACAGTCCCATGGGAGGTACTGAATGTGTGTACCTGTGTAACCACCAGTACAATTAAGATACGAATCTGTAATCCCAGCAACTTGGGAGACTGAGGCAGGATTACAAGCTTGAAATCTGCCTCAGCAACTTAGTGAGGCACTGTCTTAAAGTAAAAAATAAAGGGGCTGGGGATATAGCTCAGTTGGTAGAGGGCTTGCCTCTCATGCACAAGGCCCTGGGTTCAATCCCCAGCACCACAAAAATAAATAAAATAAAACTAAAAAATAAAATGTGGTGCTGGGGATATAGCTCAATTAGTAGAGTGCACAAGGTCCTGGTTCAATCTCCAGCACCACAAAAATAGATAAATAAATAAATAAATGAAAAGGTGTTGGAAGATGTGGCCCAGTGGTTAAGTGCCCTGAGTTCAATCACCAGGACCCCCCCCAAAAAAGGAAAAAAAGAACATCTATCACCCAAAAATTTCCTTGTGCCCCTCTTAGTTAACTCTCTCTACTTCCACCTATTCCCAGGAAACTAGTGATCTGCCTTCTGTTACCAGATTGCTTTTAGTTAGTTTGTACATGCTATTGCATGCCTTAATGTTTATTGCTGTATAGAATCCCTTGGTACTATTATAAAGTAAATTGTGTATCTTTTCACCTGTTATGGACATTTGGATTGTTGCCAAACTTTCACTGTTATGTATAAAGTTGCTAAGAAAGTTTGTATACGATCTTTGAATGAACATATTTTTATTTCCCCTTGGGTAAACATCTAAGAATGGAATTGCTAGGCCATATAGAAAATATGCTTAACTTACTAGGGAATAGCCAAACTTCTAGAAAGTTGTGCCATTTTATACTTCCACCAGTAAAGTGTGAGCATTCCTATTCCACATCCTCATACTTGGTCTTTTTTTTTTTTTTTTTTTTTTTTTGGTACTGGGGATGGACCCAAGAGGCATTTTACCACCGAGCCACATCTCCAGCCCTTTTATTTTTTATTTGGAGACAGGGTCTCACTAAATTGCTTAGGGTCTTGCTAAATTGGTAAAGCTGACTTTGAACTTATGATCTTCCTGCCTCACCCTCCGCTGAGATTATAGGCCAACACTGCTGTGCCTGGCAATACTTGGTCTTTTTCACCTTCAGCTTTTCTAGGTGTTTGAGTGTTATCTGGTTAAGATTTTAATTGCATTTTCCTGAGAACTAAAATATTGAGCATTTTTTCATGTTCTTATCAGCCATTTTTTTTCTCTCCTATGAACTTATGAGGATAACAAACTAGAGGCCAGCCTGGACAACTTAGTGTCTCAAAATAAAATAAAAAGATCTAGGAGTGCAGCTCAGTGGGGAAGCTATATCACCTGGGGTCAATCCCCAGGACTGCCAAAAATGAAAGAATGAATAAATAAAGGATCTATTTATATATTCTATATTCAAGCCTTTCAACAGATATGTGTCCTGTGAATATTTTCTCCAGCCTGTATTTTACCTTTTCATTTTTGCATCTGTGACTTTTAGAGAGCAGATCTTTTTACTTTTTATTTATTTATTTTTATTTTTTGAAACAGTACCACTTTGTGTTGTTCAGGCTATTGGACTCAAACAGTCCTCCTGCCTTAGCATCTCAAGTCCTGGGATTACAGGTATATGTCACCACTTTATTTATTTATTCATTTATCTTTTTGGTACTGAGGATTGAGCCCAGGAGCACTTTAACATTGAGCTACATCCTCAGTCCTTTTTTTTTTTTTTTTT